GAACTGTGTGTAAAGCCACTGGCCAAACAAATCGCAGCTGTACAAGTCAACAGCTGATACAGGTAAGTCTGGCGGGGGACTACAGTTCAGGAAACACTTCTTGTATGTTTGTCGCTTAAATCTTTATTTGATTTGGTATAACTGTAAATATTTTTAAATTGGTCCACGATTAGTCCAGAAATTTATTTTTCTCCACGATGAAGGAAGCATCAAGATGCTATACTCAACTTTTGAGAAGGACCATTTTATCTTTTGACAGAGATGTGCCTTCAGCATAAGTTGTGAATTATATTACTTGCACAAATTATCATGGATAGTTGACAGTGATGAGGAGTTTTGATATAAATCTACAGATTTTGTTGTGTGATGACAACTTAAATACACGATTTATGGCACTAAAGATGAATTTGTAACAATTACTTCCCTTTGAAGGATTCCAATGGAGTTTTAAAAAATTTTCGCCACAATTTTGTAAATAACACTCTCCATTAGCAGTGACAAGATTAATCCTTATCAGACAAAGTTTTCCTTCCTTCACCGCCAAGTTGATGTACGTGCCTCGTATCCAGTTGAGTCATCATTGCCGAGACTATCCTGCTATTTTTACAACAAATAGCTCTCTACAACATTAAACAATCCTTCTCCCAATACTCTAAACCCTCTCGATCCCACCACAAACATATCCAACCTGAACTACCTGACAATCTGCACCACAACACCCCCAACTAAATGCATAATCAAAATCAATTCTCGCGGAATTTCATGTTACATCTACAAAAAGGACACTTCAGCCCAACACGTGAATCAATGATAATTTTCAACCAGTCACTTTTTTAATGGAGTCATCCCATTCCACAAAACTTCCACATCAAACATCAAGTTTCCAGTTTCACTCAGCAGACGACATTCCATCCCAGGAGTTTGTATCGACTAAGAAACAGAATCGTCTAATATTTCGTCATCTCCCGGTAAATATTTTGAGTTCACACAAAAGCAGTGGAATGTCAAGCGAGGTAAGTTAACACCTAGAGTAGAAACCGGTAGCACTTGACTTGTTAATACAATGTTTTGACCATGTGCAATAAACACATGGAGGATGGACGTGTATGTAAACATGTAATTAAGAAGCCATAAACAGCAGATAACTGAAATTCATAGCACACAGTACTGAGGCACCATGGGAATATTGGATCGAGAGACGAGTCTGATGTGAGTTTAGTGCTTCAAGTTGATGAAGGATCATACAGAGTCCTGAGCAAGTTGATGCACTGATGAATGGTCTCCTTCTAAAGAGAAAACCTTAAAATAAAGTTATAAAACAGTTATATACAATACTAGCACTAAAATAATGACAACAGTAAAATCTGCTGAATGAAGAAGACAAGTTTAACTGAGACAGCTTTCCTAGCAACATATTCTGATACATTTTTGAAGGAACAAAATAATTCTTAGTCCATTTACTTCTTTTGTTTCAAAGAAAGTTTCAACCATTATTATGTCAACCCAGAAAATATTTAAAAGACTACCACAAATTCATGACGGACCAGTTATTTTTCACAAAAACAACCTTATATAAATGATATTATATTCAGCTATATTCATCAAAACCAGCCCTTTCAAACACTAACTGAGAAAATAGATTTTTTCTATACAGATATTCAAGTACATAATTGGAAGAAACAGTAGAGCTGGCAAGGAGTCAAGTCGCCTGTTAATAACAGAAATAACTTCAGGAAGACAGGCAGACGGCTATTTTGGAATAGCAGACGACCATTTGAATGGTCAAGCAGCTATTTTGAACACACCACAACAGGAAAAGGAAGACAACCGATTGTTCAACTTGTGTAGTGTCTGTTTTTTTCTTCAAAAGATGTTTCAAGACCAGTCTCATTAACTGTAGGAAATAAACTGACATAATTTGTTGTTTTTGTGGTATATCCCAGGGGCTGAATGTTGTATTTTTCAACACCATGTTCCATTAAGAACATCAAATACCACCAAATGCATCCCATTATCAGTTTCAGCAAGTTTGTTATTTGTTCTTTTAAAAAAAGTATTTTCAACAGCAGAAACTTGCGAGTGTTTTTTTTCGCAACTGAGATGATATTACATTCATATATAATTCATATCACATTCATATCTAATTCATATCAGATTCATATTCATATTCATATTCAATTCATATTCAATTCATCTTACACTCATGCTATATTATATTCATATTATATTACATTCATATCCAATTAATACTTGATTCATATTACATTCATATTTAACCACCAAACACATAACTGCTGCATTTATCATGAAAGTAAAGTAGAGGTAAGGTATTTTTTTATGCAGGACGACGTTTGTACTCCATCATGCTGACACTTTGGTTTAGATGCTAACAGACGCAATGGGGTAACCTAATTGTTAAAATGTTGAGCGGTCACGCCAAAAAACAGGGTTCGATTCCCCACATGTGTGCAATGTGTAAAGCCCATTTCTGGTGTCCACCGTCATGATATTGGTGTAATTTTGCTTAAAGCGGCATAAAACAATACCCACTCACTATACTTACACTTATAGTGTTTTCAAACAGGAGTGATATACTACAGCACATATTTATATACACCACGTAGCAATAAACAAACTCCAAAAGGGTATGCAAGAAATAGATGAACAACACAGATGCTGGTCATAAATAACAACTGGGAGAAGCCAACTGTACATGATGGAATACAAAACCAAAATGTCGCATCAGAATAAAGTAACATTGTCATCCATGATAGTTATCTCACCTCTACTGTTGCTCACCAGCTTCTGTGAAGCCAGTTTGCATCCTGACATTTGTTGCACATGAAATTAAGACTTTTATTGATTTTATACATCGGTTATCTCTTCATAATGCACGGAATTATCCTTGTCACCCTGACACAAGCTGACCCTTGCTCCCGGAATTGTTAACAAAACTGGCATCTTGCCCAGGATTTTAATATCAAACATTTCTTATCCTGTATAATTCAGTACATATCAAAACATCCTTATGTCCGGTCATGCTTGCTTCAAAATAAAACACTTGTGAAGATCCGGGTTACTGATCTTCAGTAACCCATGCTTGTCGTAAGAGGCGATTAACAGGATCGGGTTTTCCGGCTTGCTGGTTCACACATGCCATTGGATTCCAGTTATGCAGATTGATGCTCATGCTGTTGATCACTGGATTGTCAGGTCCAGACTTGATTATTTACAGACTGTCGCCATACAGCTGGAATATTGCTGAGTGCGGAGTTAAACAACAAACCCACCAACCAGCATATTAAAACATCCTTACATCAGTTTCAATAAACAAAGATGTTGGGTATACAGACTGTCAAAACTTCCCCAGCTTGTATAAAGTGTGTCCCTCTATGTTAGGAGGAACATAAAGTGTCCAAGTCGGCAAAGTATTAACCATATAATGCACAACAGAGTGGGGTCCCTCCCACAGGCATTTGAATATATATTTTTTTTTTTTTAACAAGTTAGGTATGGTTCACACTGGTTTTAATCCCAAATGACGATTGATACCCAGTCTACAATTTTGGGCTTTATGTATTCCTCAAAATCTTTCATGATAAGAGGTAGCCTAGTGGTTAAAGTGTTCGCTTGTCACACAAGAACTGGGTTCGATTCCGCAGATGGGCACAATGTGCGAAGCTCATTTCTGTGGCCCCACCCTGATATTGCTGGAATGTTGCTAAAAGCAGTGTAACACTATCCTAACCCACTCGAGGAGTTGAATCTAAGCAAATACCTTAACCAGTTGACCACCCTACAACACTTTAAACTGCACATTAGGAGTCAATATCAAATCTATTTTACACAAGTGATATCCTATATAAAGTGTCAAACCCAAGCCAACACCTTAACCACTCTACCATGCTACCTGATCACCTTTCGCAAGATGAATTGACTTCAAATCTTCCTCCACAACTCAGGAAAGATTTCCAGGTTCATCTTTTACTTGTGAAATAGATAACAATAATCATTGCATACAAGTCATAATACATATAAGGAGTTAGATTTGCACAAGTCTCTTAGGCAAAAATTAATAGTTTAAATGATAATTTCGATAAAATAATAAATAAGAGACTGGGGTCACAGACTGAGGTCCTAAAACTACTGTCGTCTTATCTAGATCTGTCCCTTTGAAGGATACAATTACTGTACATCCATTCAGTATAGCCTTGGAGCAAGGCTAATAAGGAGCTAATCCCAGCAAACAACTCAACCACTTTGCTACCCTCGTAAGTTTAACATATAGTGACATCCATCAAGACTTCACAGTTCTATTCATTCAAACTTTTATTCCTCTCAAGATAGAAGAATGTCATGACATAGATGCTCCTATCCTTCAAGCAATTGGCTCCCCAGGCGCATCTCGGATACCTGTAGAAGCAATCTAAACGTCTGCTTACTTGATAACAAGCAGCAGGAAAGGAAAACACACTTGTGGTATTTTGTCTTCAAAAACTTTTCTCAAAACATGGAAACAAATGTAAACATTCCCGGTTACCTTTTTAAAACCTGAACTTAAATACTACCAATGCCCCCAAGTTGGCAGAGATTACCATCCTGTACCCTTGAGGAATTTCAACCTGACCTGACGATGCATAACGTGTGTTGCAGAGTTCTAAACACTACATATGTTATCAAACCAACACTTACCCTGTCTCTCTATCAGCATGAACTCTCGGTTAGTAAAATCCTCGTTTACACAGCGAGTTCTCTCAAACATGTGAGTGAGCTCAATACCGAGCTAAATCAATAACAACAGTTGAACATGTGTTCAGCCCCCACAAACCTGAACAGTGCTATTCTGAGGTGGTCAGTTTGAATCGGACCTGAAATTTACTGTTAGAGCTTCATGTGTCCAATCCTGAATGAAAACATGAGGAGAATGATGTTGCTGTATCGAAGCCGTGTAAACTAACGCACACTCACACACATGGGCAACACAACACCACGATGCTAACCTGTGCACTGTTGTCGGAGCCTGTCCGGTGGCAAAATATCCGCTGGATTGTCCGACAGGTCACTCAGTAACTTAAGTCTGTTCGGTCAGTCTAAAACACACATGGACTTGGGTATCACATGGACGAACGAATCGATGGACTCAAACCAAAACAGTTGCAGAGGATATGGGTTTGGCTATGTGCCACACACCTCCACAAACTCCTGGCCCATTCTCTTGCCTCCTGGAACCAATATGGTAATTATTTACAGGAATAGTTCTTTGTCTTTTTTATCTTGGGAGTCGTCAGCAGAGGGAGCAACTGGCCGCCATTTGCTTGGCTCCACAGACAGGAGCAACTGTTAATAGCTCCGAGTACACTGATAATTGATTCTTCACTGAGAGACTCTGGGACTAGCTGCTCGACTACAGGATTGCGATGGCTTCCGTGGTTGCCTGTACTGCCTGCTCCGCTGCTGCTCAGTGAAGACTGAGAGGTAAGGGTACTGGCTGAGTACTGGAGGGAGCTACAGGCACCACGGAACTGTCACAGCGGCCACGACATTGCCGGCAGAGCACGTGGGGAGAGACATGCTTTCATAAGTGAGGAATTCCTTCTTGCACAGACGAGACCTACAATTTCAGTTTGGGCTATTTATAGACCTATAGTCACAGCTTTGATTAGGAACACGTGGGTTTCTCACTGCTTGGGATTATTTGAAAAATTTGCAAATTCACTCTCACTGATTTTTCAAACTTGAATTGATTTAATTAAAATTTTAGGAAACATAAAATTCAAAACAAATCAATTTTGAAGGAATGTGAACATTTATCAGTAAATGAGAGTATTGTTACAAAATATTAATTATATATATAAAGAGTTCTTTGCATAATTTTCAAATGTTACATTACCATCATGTTTAATGATATACATGCATAACTAGTAAATATGCAATTTGATGAGAAAAAGACCAAAAATATTTACTCATAATTTTGCATGGTGAAAGTTTTAACACTATGAAATGTTAACACAATCATTTACATTCATAGGCTGAGTGTATTTGGATAACATACATGACAGTCAACAGATGTGGCTTGTTTGGGAATGACCTTTTGAAATGTCTGCTCACCCCACCCCGAACATGGAACATAAAAATTGCAGACTATGAAAATATACATCATGAGTGGGCTCAAGTTCTAACTATAGGTTGAGAGTTGAGACAGTAGGATAAGTAGAGAGTTGTGATAACTAGGAGAGTTGAGACAGTAGGATAAGTAGAGAGTTGTGATCGTAGGGTAACTAGAGAGTTGTGATCGTTGGGTAACTAGAGAGTTGTGATGGTAGGGTAACTAGAGAGTTGTGACAGTAGGGTAACTAGAGAGTTGTGATCGTTGGGTAACTAGAGAGTTGGGACAGTAGGGTAACTAGAGAGTTGGGACAGTAGGGTAACTAGAGAGTTGTGATCGTTGGGTAACTAGAGAGTTGGGACAGTAGGGTAACTGGAGAGTTGTGATCGTAGGGTAACTACAGAGTTGTGATCGTAGGGTAACTAGAGAGTTGTGACAGTAGGGTAACTAGAGAGTTGTGACAGTAGGGTAACTAGAGAGTTGTGATTGTTGGGTAACTGGAGAGTTGTGACAGTAGGGTAACTAGAGAGTTGGGACAGTAGGGTAACTAGAGAGTTGTGATCGTTGGGTAACTAGAGAGTTGGGACAGTAGGGTAACTGGAGAGTTGTGATCGTAGGGTAACTACAGAGTTGTGATCGTAGGGTAACTAGGGAGTTGTGACAGTAGGGTAACTAGAGAGTTGTGACAGTAGGGTAACTAGAGAGTTGTGACAGTAGGGTAACTGGAGAGTTGTGATTGTAGGGTAACTGGAGAGTTGTGACAGTAGGGTAACTAGAGAGTTGGGATTGTTGGGTAACTAGAGAGTTGTGATGGTAGGGTAACTAGAGAGTTGTGACAGTAGGGTAACTAGAGAGTTGTGATTGTAGGGTAACTAGAGAGTTGTGACAGTAGGGTAACTAGAGAGTTGAGATTGTTGGGTAACTAGAGAGTTGTGACAGTAGGGTAACTAGAGAGTTGTGATTGTTCGGTAAACTAGAGACTTGTGAAGGGTAACTAGAGAGACAGTAGGGTCAGAGAGTTGTGGTAAGGGTAGAGTGATCATAGGGTAACTAGAGACAGTAGGGTAACTAGAGAGACAGTAGGGTAACTAGAGAGTTGTGACAGTAGGGTAAGTAGAGAAGGTGAACTAGAGAGTTGTGACAGTAGGGTAACTAGAGAGTTGTGATCATAGGGTAACTAGAGAGTTGGGACAGTAGGGTAACTAGAGAGTTGTGACAGTAGGGTAACTAGAGAGTTGTGATCAAGGGTAACTAGAGAGTTGGGACAGTAGGGTAACTAGAGAGTTGGGACAGTAGGGTAACTAGAGAGTTGTGACAGTAGGGTAACTAGAGAGTTGGGACAGAGTTGGGACAGTAGGGTAACTAGAGAGTTTGATCGAGGGACTAGAGAGTTGGGACAGTAGGGTAACTAGAGAGTTGTGATCGTAAGGTAACTAGAGAGTTGGGACAGTAGGGTAACTGAAGAGTTGGGACAGTAGGGTAACTAGAGAGTTGTGACAGTAGGGTAACTAGAGAGTTGGGACAGTAATGTAACTAGAGAGTTGTGACACTGATCACCATCTCACTCACACAGAACAATTAACTATACCCAACTTCATTACATCCCAAATTGATTGCACTGAAACTTGGTAGAGGGCTGAATAAAGCTAATAATGAAGACAGACAAATTAAGGATCAGAAAAGGTTAAGTACGTTCCCTCGATGTTAAGCGGCAAGTTTATGAATATTAATACACACAGACTACACAGGCTAGAACAGATTGAGGCATTACTGGATCTGCAGAGGCCATGGCCCAAGGGATGGGTCAGTCTGAATGAAGTGGTCAGTGAGGATGTATAGGTCATCTGAGATGAATGGACAACAAACAGTGCTACACCGACTGCTTCCAGCTACTGGTCAAGGCCAGATAGGGTCAATCAGTTGTTGATGGAGTTGCTGTTATAGGTTTTACTGTCAGCTGTTGGAGGAGTTGCAATCAGCTGTTGCTCTCAGCTGTTGGTGACTGCCTGACTGAGTTTGGTTTTACGCCACTTTTAGCAATATTCCAGCAACATCACGGCGGGGGACACCAGAAATGGGCTTCACACATTGTTGGTGATGTTGCTATTGGTTGTTGGTGGTGTTGCTGTCAGGTGTTGGAGGTGTTGCTGTCAGGTGTTGGAGGTGTTGCTGTCAGGTGTTGGAGGAGTTGCTGTCAGGTGTTGGAGGTGTTGCTGTCAACTGTTGGAGGTGTTGCAATCAGCTGTTGGTGGTGTTGCTATTGGTTGTTGTTGGTGTTGCTGTCAGGTGTTGGAGGTGTTGCTGTCAGGTGTTGGAGGTGTTGCTGTCAGGTGTTGGAGGTGTTGCTGTCAGGTGTTGGAGGTGTTGCTGTCAACTGTTGGAGGTGTTGCAATCAGCTGTTGGTGGTGTTGCTATTGGTTGTTGTTGGTGTTGCTGCCAGGTGTTGGAGGTGCAAAAAAATGTTGTTGGCATTGCACTTGGCTAGTTATGTATTTAGCTGTTGATTATGTTACAGTCAGCTGTTGGTGGTGTTGCAATCAGCTGTTGGTGGTGTTGCAATCAGCTGTTGGTGGTGTTACAGTCAGCTGTTGGTGGTGTTACAGTCAGCTGTTGATTATGTTACAGTCAGCTGTTGGTGGTGTTGCAATCAGCTGTTGGTGGTGTTGCAATCAGCTGTTGGTGGTGTTACAGTCAGCTGTTGGTGGTGTTACAGTCAGCTGTTGGTGGTGTTACAGTCAGCTGTTGGTGGTGTTACAGTCAGCTGTTGGTGGTGTTACAATCAGCTGTTGGTGGTGTTACAGTCAGCTGTTGGTGTTACAGTCAGCTGTTGATTATGTTACATTCAGCTGTTGGTGGTGTTACAGTCATCTGTTGGTGGTGTTACAGTCAGCTGTTGGTGGTGTTACAGTCATCTGTTGGTGGTGTTGCAATCAGCTGTTGGTGGCGTTAGTCAGCTGTTGGTGGTGTTACAGTCAGCTGTTGGTGGTGTTACAGTCAGCTGTTGATTATGTTACAGTCAGCTGTTGGTTGTGTTACAGTCAGCTGTTGGTGGTGTTGCAATCAGCTGTTGGTGGTGTTACAGTCAACTGTTGGTGGTGTTACAGTCAGCTGTTGGTGGTGTTACAGTCAGCTGTTGGTGGTGTTACAGTCAGCTGTTGGTGGTGTTACAGTCAGCTGTTGGTGGTGTTACAGTCAGCTGTTGGTGGTGTTACAGTCAGCTGTTGATGAAGCGGACAGTACAAGGCTGTACTGAAAGCTAAGCCTCTGGGTGTACAGTAATTCTATCCATTAAAGGGGCAAGTCTAGATAAACGGACAGTATAGGCTGTACTGAAAGCTAAGCCTCTGGATGTACAGTAATTCTATCCTTTAAAGGGGCAAGTCTAGATAAGCGGACAGTACAAGGCTGTACTAAAGGCTAAGCCCATGGATGTATAGTAATTCTATCCTTTAAAGGGGCAAGTCTAGATAAGTGGACAGTACAAGGCTGTACTGAAAGCTAAACCTCTAGGTGTACAGTAATTCTATCCTTTAAAGGGGCACGTTTAGATAAGCGGACAGTGCAAGCATGACAGTGCAAGTCTACTGTTAGGGTAGACTAAGGCTTAGTCCCTGAATATAAAATTTTGATAGCAACAACAAAAACATTTAAATTGAAAAGGAGCCCCAGTGAGTTGGGAGGTTCTGAACCTGAGGGAATCTAGACTTGCTTTATTTAGGGCTTTAGCATTGCAGAGATGGCTTGGCAGTAGGGAAAATACTGTGGTTCAGGGACTGTGAGACATACTACTGTTTGGGGTGCTGTACAGGATACAGGCTCGACTGACAGGGGTCAGTGTATGACTTGATGGATGACTCCTTTGGGTTCTCTACTACAGAGGATGGTCCAGCAATGAACAGCTGGCTTAATTCAGTAGGGTCAAAGTCCTGTAGGCTATTAGATTGAGTTGAGATGAGGTGGAGGTGGCTAATGGCTAGGAGATGTCGCTATACTAAATTTTATCATGATATTTTGCAGACCATTGTGACATTATCTGTTACCATGATGTCACAATCAAATGACATCACAAATAATTCTAAAAAAAAAATATATGATAAAAGGAGCCTTGAGACTTTCTTCATTTTCAGAAGCTGTGGAAATCTAGACTTGCCACATATTCTAGACTTGCGTGGGATTTCTTGGATATATTTGCTTCAGGGTTTGTATGATAGACTAAGAAAAATATAACAAAACGTTTTTTCATTTCAGAAACTAAGTGTTA